ATATTAGGTCCGCCCTTTATATCGCCAAACATGCATGCGTGGAAATAATAAAAATGGGGAAGTTCAACGTTGCCAAACTTATTGGTTTTATTTGACCTGTTGTCTTTTTTGCATTTGAACAATGTTCTAAGATAATCAAATTTGGGCGAAATTGATTTAAATGGCAGCTTACTGTTTTTTTATTGGGAATATGCCACAAGTTTACTTTACAATAAGTGTAATATAACATTTTGATTTCCACTTCGGAAATCGTTTTATATAAATAAAATTTATTAATGTTTCGTATTTTAAGTACGATTTCCGAATTAAAAATCTAAACATCAAAATAAGCTTATTTTAAAGTCACATTGTGCCTTATTCCCAATATGAAATAATAAACTGCATACAATAACGCCACATTCAAAAATATTCATACACAATAATTATTTGGCAACGTCCGTCCGCCAACACCGAGTAACGAGTAGTAGAGGTGGGTCGTGGTAGTTTTATCGTTAAGAGCGTAGGCACAAAATTTCGGGACAATATTTTTTAAATGCATTCATTTTTTTTCGAATCCTTAGAAAACTAATAAATATTTTTGAAAAATTTAAACGCAGAATGAAACAATACATTATTACCGAGGGCCGAAAGTCCCTGAAAACTTTTATAATGTTTATTTTAATAAGTTATAGGGGTGAAAAAAAAATTAGTGTGATTTTTAATTTCAAATATCTCATTCAAAAAACTTTTTGTTTATTCTAAGGGACTTTCGGCCCTCGGTAATAATGCAATCTTTTATTCTGCATTTAAATTTTTCAAAAATATTTGTTAGTTTTCTCAGGATTAAAAAAAATGAATGCATTTAACAATTTAAATTTTTGTAAACAAGTAACTATGATTGTTTAAAAGTAGTTTCAAGTAAGAGAGTACCCACATAAACAAACATAATGGCTATTATATAATAAAATATTGTAGTATTGTAACAAAATCTTTTCCTTGTGAACACATGTTTAAAATCTGGTTTAATTTTAAATAAAAGAAGAACACGGTTAACAAGCAAAATGGAAAAACTTGTTTTTAAATGTCAATTTAGACGATTCGCGATTTAATAATGTATAATGTAAATGTAAGTATTATTTGCATTGTTTAATTTATTTTTCAAGTTATAATAAATATATCCTTCGTTAGGTTCTTTCACTTCAATACTTATACACATAAACGATAATAGCCAATATGTTTGTGCACTCGCTAATTTGAATACTGATAAACAATCAACTAGTTACAATTTACGAAAAACGGTTCCGATAAAAATTTAAAAAACGAGAGGACCCACCTCTAGTTTTTTAGGTATATTAGGATCGGAACCAGAGAATATGTAAAATATCTCTGATCGGAACTATTCGTCTCACTAATGGGCAATGAGTGTTAAAAATATTATTGGAGGGAAGACCAAGGGGAAATATGATTGTTATCTTTGTCTATTCGCTGAAAATATGATTTTATATCTGCGTTAGATATCCTGTTAAATTTTACCATACCTACCATAAACTTTTACCTACACTGTATATATAAACCTTTTACAAATCAGTTGTAATTAAGTTAATAACATTGCTGTTACTGTTATGTATCATGTATCTGTTTTGTATCATGTAGGTTATATAAAACAGTAGTTTTATATAACCTACATGATACAAAACAGATGAAAGAAAAGTACAAAACTCCAGGCAATATTGGAGGGTCAACAGTTTTATCCAGTTCTGAAGAAGACTTGATTATAAAATTGATAATCGAAATGAGCAACGTGAGATTCCCGGTAACAAGATATTCCCGGTAACAAGATACCTCAAATACTTGTTGATTATGTTTCAAAACTAATTCAAAATTTGAAACCAAAAATCCCATTTAAAAATTATATACCTGGTAAAAAATGGTACAATGGTTTTCTCGCTCGTCATCCAGAAATTTTAAAACGTGTTCCACAATCACTATCTTCTTGTGGAGCCGCAGTTACGGAACAAAATTTCTTTATCCCCTCAAGAAAAACAAGTTTTGGTTAGAAAAGGTGCGAAAAAGGTATACAATCGCATAGCTAATGGCGAAAAAGAATGTCTTACAGTTTTGCTAACTGCTGGAGCTAATGGTTCTGTACCTCCGCCATTAGTTTTGTATCCCTACAAAAGGTATGTGTCAGCTGCAATAATAACGAATATGACAAAACAGTGGGGAGTTGGGCACCCTGAATCTGGTTGGATGACAAGTGAGACACTTTATGAATACATAACAAATGTATTTTTTCCCTGGTTGGAAAAGAACCCTATTTCACTCCCAGTAATATTGTTTCTAGATGGACATTCTTCCCACATCAATCTGCTTATTACTGAATTCTGCAAAGAAAAAGGTATCATTTAACAGCATTTCACCCCAACGCAACTCACCGATTACAGCCGTTAGATGTTGGTATTTTTTATTCCATTAAAAATAACTGGCGAAAAAATGTTCGGTATTGGTGTATGGAGAATACCGAAAGAAAACGGACTGAGTTTGCAAAACTCTTAGACAAAACTTTGAAGGCTACAGTCTGTACATCGATAATAAAAAAAGCATGTGAATCATGTGGACTCTTTCCGTTCAACGAAAATGGCATTGATTATTCAAAATTAATAAAATCAATAGAACAAAAAGATTCTGATGATAAAATAACTGAATCCACATCCACTACAACTGTTAATGTTTATGATTCTGAACTACTTCAAGAGGTAGAGATTCGCTTAAACCCAGAAGTTGTTAACCGTTTTAAGATTGCTGAATCAGCGGCCCAACTAGAAGAAAAATATGTAGCATTGTATGAATTCTGGAAGAGTCCTTATCCACAAAATGTCGATCATAATACAACTTTGGAAAACAATTTGCCGATAAATGCCGCTAACGAGACCATTGTTGACATACACTTCGATGAAAACTTGTGGTTTCGCAATAATGATACAATTGAAGCTACAGTCAAATAAGATGGAGCATTGGTCTTAATTCCTTCACAGAATAGCAATTCTAGTTCGCCAAAACCTGGTCCATCATCATTGAAGGACAATGATTCTGACTATTATTTAGCAGTAAGTTCACTCCAAGAAAAAACACCACTTAAGAACAAAGTAGTAAACAGAACTCCTTGTAATAGCCCAATAAAAGATGATTCAATAGTTCATTCTGATCAAAAAAGACAAGTACAAAATCAAGAAAAAACCCCACTTAAGCAGATTACAACAACATCAGAGAATAATACTAAATATCCAACACCTTTCAAAAAAGCACTATTTTCTCCGAAAAGCTCTGCAAGGAAAAAAATAACAGCACAGAAGACACCAACGAAAGGAAAAACCAAAGATCTATCTTACAGTAGCTATAAGTGATGAATTTATGGAACATCAACGACGACTCAAAAAAGAAAAAGAGGAAAAAGAAAATAAAAAATGTGAACGAATCCGAAAGAGAAAAGAAAAAACAGAGATCCAACAAGCAAAAAAGAAAAATTGTCCTCCAAAACACACACCAGGCATAGATACTGGTAATAACAATACGGAAAACATAAATAAAATGAATATTTCCCTGGTGTAGTTCTGGAACGATGGATTGATACTTTGAGAGTTAAAAGTATGACTATGAGTGGAAAGTACTGGAAATGGCCAGATAGAGATGACATTTTAAATTATGACTTTGATGATGTAGTTTGTAAGATTGCGAGACCTTTGCTCATAAATAAACGCGGCGCCTATGAAGTTCCAGAAATTAAAAACCTAAAAAAATAAAGTTCTTTTCAAAACTTTGTACTTTATCTGTTTTGTTTTTTATTGTTTTTTGGCCATTTTTTTTGCAAATTTACTTAAAAATTATTCTTAAAGGGTTTTTTGTCATAACTAAGTAAATAGGACGGATAACGGCACCCTTGTGGACGGTATTGGGAAAAAATCAATTATGTGGACGGAAAATGGCTATTTGCGAAATGTTTGCATTTGGTTTCTTAAATAAGCAATTTTGTTGAAATGACTAGTATTATTACTATAAATTTGGCTGTAGTAAGAATTAATAATGCATAATAGCTTATAGACATGTATTACTTGAAATTTCAATAATTCGGAATTGATCTTTCAAACAATTTTATATATACCACTTATAACCGGTCGGAATTCGGTGCTCTTACGTTATTTGTACCATGAAAGAAAGATGATCTTACCATTCAGCTTTCAAATGATTGTAGAGAGGAGTTGGTATCTACAACTTAGGATATCAGCTTACTGCCGCTACTAGTGTACAATATAAAAAAAAAGATTACTACCACTACTACTGTACCGGGTGGTCCAATAAGCCGATCTCTCGGCTCTATATCAGAAACTATTCATGTTATAACTTTAGGAGAAAAAATTCCTTAATAAAAGTAGTCAAGAGAAATCGCTGGAAATAAAATTCAAGTTTCTGGGTTAACCACTAGGGGGCGTAACCTGTGAATAAAAATTTGAAAACCAGTTTTTTGTGAAATATGCCCAATTATACCAAGTGTTAAATAAGTAAACTAGAAAGAGGCCTTAATTCTTCACAAAGTTGTTCAAGCACTTTTTTTATTTTTTCAAGGGTGGGGGAGAGTGGGAACGTATTTGTGGATAAATACCTATAATTTTGGTTTGGATCAACCAATTTTAACGTAATTAGTATCATTAGAAAGAGTATGGATGGTTTAATTTATATCTAACATAAAACAATTGAATTTAGTTTTAATTGTCATGGGTAGAGGGTACTTTTGAATAGAAAAAATTAAAATTTATTTTTCTTCAAAATGTTGAATGGAAACACCTATTTATTGTAAATTATAATGGAACTGGATTAAAGTCGTAACAAAACGGCGCAAACCGTATGTTAATAGCTTTTGTAGAACTCGAGATATGAATAAAAACGCATAAACTAAATAAGTATAGTATTGACTCACCCTTATTATAACTTAAAATTAAATATGTGAAAGATCATACAAACATCTCGACCATTTAAACTTAATGTCCAATTAAATGTTCAAATTGTTTTCCATCATGGTCCACACAAAGATGTAATCTTTCGCGCGTAGAGATAACAGCTGTTTCAATCTCAGCTGTTGATATACTATTTATTGCGTTTGTAATGCGCTGTTTCATCTCGACTCGCGTGGTTGGCCAAGTTTGGTACACTAAGTCCTTCAATCTTCCCCACAGATAAAAGTCCAGGTATGTTAAGTCTGGAGATTCCCCTTCCAATCCATTTATTTGGATAACTTGCATACAAATAATCTCGAACTCGACTGGAAAAGTGCGCAGGACACCCGTCATGTTGTAATATCATATCTCTTCTTGTTTGTAAGGAAATATCTTCCAATAAAACAAGCAACTGATTTTCCAGAAAATCCAAATATTTTTAGCCATTTAAAGTTATATCAAAGAAATATGGACCTACGATCTTTCCATCAACTATACCACACTAAACATTAAGACTCCATCTACCTTGAACCTGCACCTCATGTATCCAATGCAGATTTTCTTTAGCCCAATAATGCATATTATGCAAATTAACACCACCCGCACTTTTAAACGTAGCCTCGTCTGTTCACAAAATCTTTGACATGATACGCGATTGTTCTTCTAGCAGACCTAACATCCAATTGCAGTAATCCAGCCTTGCATCAAAATCTCTCTCATGTAAATCTTGTTGGAGAACTACATGATAAGGATGCAGTCTAAAAACAGAACAACACATATTGGTGAAAAGAAACCACTATATTACTAAAACTCAAAAATCTTGAAAATCTACATTGTTTCACAAGATAAATCGTGCATAAGCATTTTAAGAACGGATAAAGGATAAAAGCGCCGTGTTGCCGTTTTATCGAAATATTAAAATAACAGTTAAAGTTTAAAGGGAATTCCAAGTTTCTGGCCTAAACGTTCATTTTATAATATGAAAAACCAACCTGTGATGTTTTAAAATCCTTAGAACAGTAGTTTTGGGTATGTTTAATTCTATAGAGATTTGCCGACTACTTATATGTGGATTCTGTCGAATTAAAGCAAGAACATTGATTGAATTATCTTCGGTCATACCCCTACTACATCGTTTAAAACAAGGACGATGAAAACTACCAGTTTCTCTTAATCTTCTTACCTTTCTTTCAAATACTTCTTTGCCATAATGTCTCCTGTCAGGATATCTTACAGAATATATACGTGAGGCAATAGCGGCATTTTGGTGACATTCGAAATAAACTCCAATCATATCACACAATTCTGCATTTGATATACTCATCACGGATTATTAGTACTCATAATTAATTACTAATATTACCAATATTAATACCTATTGAAAAAAGTGCAATCTTCAATTCAGATTATAACACTTTCGAAAACACTATTTTTAATCATATAAAATAACAATATTCAAAATAGGTATCAACATTAAGATTCTTTTGTTATAAAAAAATTGAAAGTACCTACTGACTTATTTTTAATTTAATTTATAATACAGGGTGAGTCAATACTATACTTACTTGTGTTTATGCGTTTTTATTCATATCTCGAGTTCGACAAAAGCTATTAACATGCGATTTGCGCTATTTTGTTACAAATTTAATCCAGTTCCATTATAGTTTACAATAAATAGGTGTTTCCTTTAAACATTTTGAAGAAAAACAAATTTTAATTTTTTCTATTCGAAAGTACCATCTACCTATGACAATTAAAACTAAATGCAATTATTTTGTAGTAGATGTAAATTAGTTCATCCACACTCTTTCTAATGACACTAATTTCGTTAAAATCGGTTAATCCAATCCAAAGTTATAGGTATTTATCCACAAATACTTCCCCACTCTCCCCCACCCTTTATTTGAAAAAATAAAAAAAGTACTTGAACAACTTTGTGAAGAATTAAAGCCTCTTTCTAGTTTACTTATTTAACACTTGGTATAATTGGGCATATTTCCAAAAAAACTGGTTTTCAAAGTTTTCTTCGCAGGTTACGCCCCTAGCGGTTAATCCAGAATCTTGAAAGTTATTTCCAGCGATTTCTCTTGGCCACTTTTACTAAGAAATTTTTTTTCCTAAAGTTATAACATGAATAGTTTCTGATATATAGCCGAGAGATCGGCTTATTGGACCACCCGGTACAATATCGAAAAAAAGGGAAATTTAGCTATACCGCTATTGCTGTTGTGGACTATGTTAACATTAATTCGCTAATTTTTTATATTGTTTTTTATATGTTTGCTTAGTTTTTACTTTTTATATTATTGTTATCTAATATATTTAATGGTAACTAACAACAAAATAATAACAAACAAATAAAGAATATAACATAAAATAGTTGTGGTATTCAGTGAGAATATGATTAAAAACTAATCGAGTTAATAAACACTTTACCTGCAGCATGCTGTTACAATATGAATTGGGAAGAGTGGCTTCGAGTCCAGAAAATCCCGTTTTATTGTAATGATCGAATTGAAAATCATCAGTACCAAGCTTATTGTACTTGACATCGACTTTCCGATATCTTTTGGGAATAGCTATAAAAGTTCCATTATCTTCGTTGTGTTTTGGACTTCGATTCAACTGAGCATAATTATTGGAGATGCCATTTTGAGCAAAATCGTAGGGTACCTAAAACATTATATTATAATTTACCTCAAACATTCTTAAAAAATTCATTTACCTACTCTGCGCGACCAAAAAATATTGTAACTTGTAAAAAAGTAGAATCATGTTTTGCTATATAGTCTTTTAAAAATAAATCTAATAGTAACCATCATCCGAGCGCGTGGCAGCAATTTGATTTAAAATAATTTTATAGAATGGCGGCCATTCACCCCTTTCTGAGAACTGGAACATTTATAATATCTATGAACAGAAGTGTTCAATCAATGCAAAAATTTGTATTGATTATATTGATATGAAACTAGATGCAAAAGAGGTTTAGAAATAGTCTGTATCATCAATCAAGTAATGTTTATTAAAACAATGATTAAATCAGAAAATAAATAAAATGTCTGAGATAGACATAACAATTTATTGCTTGTATTACTAGCTACCACTATTTATAAACCTGTAAACTGTTACCATTTCTAACAATTCAAACTTTAAGATATTCCAATGACAGAATGATACTCCAAATGTATGAATAATACTCTTAGACCAAGGAACTAACGATTTTCCCATGAAACTCGTTGATGCAATTACCTAACAACTGCTTTTAATAAATTTGGTGATAACAATATGTAGTAAACAAAATATGCAAAAGATTAAACATCATTTTTTACTTATAAACAATGTAAGATCAGTAAATTATATGGAAGAGTGACACGATTTTGATGAAAATGCATAGAAAACCCTTTAAAATGTTGGTTTGTTAAGTTATTTTTGTTAATTTAAAAAAAAACACTTTGAGTTCGCTTGAAAATACGAACAGTATCACAAATATTCAGCTTTAAAAATTTCAAGAAGTTTCACTCAATAGTTATTGCAAAATTGAAATTGTTTACCCGAAAAATTTTTACCTACAATGTTATTTTGAAGTAAAAGGATTATTTTATCAAATTAAATAATTGAACGATTAAAAAGTTTATAATAAATATTGTAAAATGGTTTGCAAAAGTACTGTGTAAACTTATAAACAATTAAAATAACTCAAGTGCAATAACATGTATGAAGGTAATTGTTTTTTACATGTCATTTTTACACGAATTCAAAATAATATATAATATCCTACGACCCTTAAAACCTGAATTAAATCTTTTTTAAATTCACCGGGGCTTTGTTTATAAAACAAAAAATTTAAAAAGAGACATTTAAAAAATAAAGAGTTTAGACAAAAAAAATTAAGAACGATTCCTTTAAAAATGAGTCAGTCGATGATGCGCCATTGCCATGCGATAAAGGGTTTAGTAGCAAAGCAATTTTACTATTTCAAAAACTGAATTCATAAATTCAAATTTATAAAAGTCGCAATATCTCCGGTTTTAATCAATGAAAATTGATGTTTTCTTTCAATTTGGGTTACCTCGAAGCAAAGATCATAACAATTTATTTTGCAACATTTTATTTCCTCTTATTATTAGTAGTAGAAAAGTTATGAAATGATAGGTAACTAAATATGTATGTATTATAGTTATAAATCATTCTTTTAACAAAAAATTTTACAAAAAATTAATCTTTTATTTTGAAAATCAAATCTGTACGTGTTAATTTTTCTTGAATTAGGTATACTTATTATTTTTAAAATGTCCTTGTTCACAAAAACAATACAAATATATTTTATACAAATTAATTGTTATCAACTTGAATAAATTCGTCTTCTTCAGTACCTTATCCGGTCCGGATGTTGGAGATCATCAAGGCTATCGTGGATTTGTTGACTGCTCTACAAAACAGCTCCACGGAGGTCATCCCAAACCATTGTCGGAGGTTTTTTAACCACGAGATACGACGGCGTCCCGGTCCTCTCCTGCCAAATACTTTACCCTGCATAACGAGTTAAAGAATTCGATATTTTTTTTCGTTCCGCATCACGTGCCCGAGGTACTCAAGTTTACGTTGTTTCTCTAAATTAAGCACTTCTTTTTCTTTTCTCATGTATTGTAGGACCTCAACGTTGGTGACATGGTGCACATACGATATTTTTAGTATCGTTCTGTAGATTCACATCTCGAAGGCTTCAATCCGCTTTTCTGTGGCTTAGGGTCCAGGCTTCAACTCCATATAGTAACACTGGAAGAATGCATCACCTCACTATCCGCATCTTGATTCCCAAACTGAGATCACTGCAGTACAGCAAAGATCTCAACTTGATAAATGTAGACCGTGCCATTTCAATACGGGATCTAATCTCTTGAGCGTAGTCCCATTGTGAGTTGAGAGTAGTTCCGAGGTAAGTGAATCTGTCGACTCTCTGGATCTCCTCGCTACCTGCCATTAATGCCCTGGATCTAAATTTTTGCGCGGCTGACAACCATGAATTTAGTTTTCTTAATATTAAGCTCTAGTCCGTATGTTACGCTCACAGTTCTCACTCGGTCTAGTAAAGCTTGTAGATCATTTGAGCTGGTTGCTAGTAACATAGTGTCATCGGCGTAGCGAATATTATTGATGTATTCACCATTTACTCGAATTCCCATCTCTAGATTTTTGAGGGTTTCAGTAAACATTTCCTCAGAGTATATATTCAAAAGAGTCGGCGAGAGCACACAGCGTTGCCTTGAATAAATATCAATAAAAATTATGGAATTAATCTGTATATATAATTAATTTGTTCAAAATATATTTGTAATATTTTTCAGTAAAGAAAAGTAATTGTAAAAATAATAAGCATAATTAAAGAAAAATTAAAACGTACAGATTTGATTTTCAAAATATTTTTTTTTTGTAAAATGTATTGTTAAAATTACTCTGGTAAATAAACAATTCACAAATTAAATAATTGAATTTTATAACCTATGCAACGAGCTACCCCAAACTGAAAAAAGCATCAATATTCGTTTGATTAAAACATAAGATATTGCGACTTTTATAAAGACTTTTATAAATTTGAATTTATGAATTCAATACACAGAAAGTATACATCAAAGCAAATGGAAAAACCCCAGAACAGTGTTTGGTATAGAAAGAATATTATGAGGAAAAAACTGATACCAAAGTAATAAATCAAGACAATGCAATAAATGAAAGCGAAGAAAACAGAGCTAGAGCAAATAAGTAGAGAAGAAGTAATAGAAGGATTATCAATCATAAAAATAGGCAAGGCAGGTGGAGATGATGAAATTAAATCGAAAATGGTAAAATACATGGGATAAGAATGTATAAACTGGCTATGGAAAATATATAAAGAGGCGTGGGAAAAACAAACAATCCCTAAAGACTGACAGAACAACATCATCGTGCCAATATACAAAAAAGGAGAAAATGTAAACTGCGACAACTATAAAGCAAGTCTGTCATCGGTGTGCTTTAAAATACATATGAAAATATTAGAGATATTAGAGAAGAGACTAAGCCAAGATCCTCCTCCTAAGTGCCTTCTCTATTGAGGTTGGCGATCAATATGGCAAATTTCTCTCTATTCTGGGCTTGATGGATTAAGTCATTTCCTGTTGTGTGAGTCCAATCTCTGATGTTTCGGAGCCAGGATTTCTTCTTTCTTCCTATACCCCTTTTACCCTAGATTTTGCCTTCTAATATTACCTGGAGCTGCTCAAATTCCTTATGGCGCATTATGTGTCCTAGATATGACGTCTTTCTAATTTTGATTGTATTAACCAGATGAGGTCGTGTGTTCATTATTTCCAGTACCTCTTCATTTGTAGTTTTGCTGGTCCAGCTTATTCGTAGCATTCGGGTACATCCATTTCGATGATTCAGTTTGTTGACGTCATACAGTTTTAATGTCCAGGTCTCAAAGCCATATAGTAGTAGAGACCACACATAACACTTTAGTGTTCTTAACCTTATTGTGATTGATAGCTTGGGGTTACAGAGCATTTTACGCATGTTCATGAAGCCAGATCTTGCTATTTCAATACGTCTTCTAATTTCTTTTGAGTGGTCTAGCTGACTGTTTAGCTCTCTCCCAGGTATATGAAGCTTTGGGAGCTGGGAAGGGTGATACCATTGATTTGTATGTTGGGTGTAATTTGTTCATGGGGGTTCTTGTGGAATACCATGATTTTGGTTTTGGAAAGATTAATATCCAAACCTAGTCTGTGACTTTCTTCTGATAGTATGTTCATCAATATTTTTAGTTGGTCTTCTGTTTCTGCTAATACTACGGTGTCATCAGCATATCTTACATTGTTAATGATGATTCCATTGACTCTGGCACCTTCAGGTCGATCTTCAAGAGAAGCTCTGATGATATTTTCGGCATAGACATTAAATAGAAGAGGGGACAGAATGCACCCTTGACGCACTCCTCGTTCTATGTTTACATAATTGGTATTTCCGTTGTCTGTTCGAACACATCCTGTGTGGTTCCAGTATGTATTGCTTATTATAGCTATGTCGTGTCCGTCCAGCCCTACTTCTTTTAGCACCTCAATCAATTTTTCGTGTCTAATGCGGTCGAAGGCCTTTCTATAATCGACAAAGCACACATTCAGCTGTTTTTGAACCTCGAGATACCTTTCTGCCATTAGTGTCAATCCCATTATTGCTTCTCTGGTGCCTGTACCTTTCCTAAAACCATATTGAGAACGACTCAGGTATTTTTCACACTTATTGTGAATGCGGTTATAAATTACTCGCATAAAAATCTTAGCAGCATGACTCATTAGGGATACAGTTCGATGGTCTTCACATTTCCTTGCTTTTTGTTTTTTAGGAAGAGCTACATATATGTGGATGTTAGCCAGTCATGCGGTAGAGTGCCATGTTCATATATAATGTTAAAGAGGTAGGTTAATTTCCCGACAGCATCATCACTCACGTGTTTAAAATGGTCGGCTGTTGTTAGATCTTCGCCGGGTGCCTTGTTGTTCTTTGCGTCTTTTATTGCCCGCATAACTTCTTCGGTTAGAATACTCAGTTTTCCATCGGTATCTGTTTGTGGGGGCCCTTTTGCTCTCCGATCACCAAACAAATCTTTAAGATATTGTTCCCATATTTCCTTCTGT